TGTATATTAAAAATAAAAAATAATTTATTATTTAAACATATTATTTTTATTTTATTCTATACTTTATTGTTTTTTTCACCTCGACGACTTATTATCTTATATATATGCAAAATATAAGTAATAAACAGTGCCTCATGCCTATTATTTTTAAAATGACTCATATTTTTTTTTATCAAGGCCCCGTGTGATATTTAAAATACAAAAATTTAAAAAAATTGTTACTATTTTTCCTACTGTAGATGAATAGTAATAAATGAAAATTTTTTACAATATATAAGAAGAAAATAAAGATAAGACAATTTTTTTTTGCTTCAAATTTTAACTCACATGGAATAACAAAGTTTACGTAAAATAAATTTGATAATTATATTTTTAAAATATACAAAAATTGTAAAATAAAATAAATTTATATGGAATGAACAATGGCTTATTTTTTTTAAAAAAATTTGTACGTTGAAAGATCGTGTGTGGCTTATAGTAAAAATGATAAGTGAAAGACCAGATATTTATGTTTTCAATATGTTCACGCATAAGAAAATTAAAATAAGATAAGGTGTTTTTAAATTTTAATTTTAGTGGATAACACATAAATTTTGAAGTTTAATTTATAAAATATAATTTTTTTTTTTTTTGTGTGAGCTCTAATATCTCTTTAACCCTAATCCAGTTTGGCAATTAAAGGTACCTTTTTGAGAGTATAAAATAATAAGTTTTAAGATAAAATTTACTTTTTCCTGTATACGTCATAAATTTCTCTTAATTTAATTGTTGTTTTTCTTGTCATGCAATAATGTAATTGAAAAATAACATTACCACCAATCCTATACATAAATAACTCTTTTTGAGTAATTAATGGTTTACTTGAAAAAATTTTTGCATAAAAAATAGATTATTAATTTTCTTAATTTTATTCTTTACTATTTTTTTACAAATAGAGAAAAAAGTTACATATAAAAGAAAAACTATCTTTTATATATGATGTATTTAATGAAGGTCAATTGATCTTTTTTTTCTTTTTCAAATAAAACTAATGATTTAACTATATCTAAAGTTGAGAATACAGGCGAGCCTGATTTTTATAGGTTCGGCCCTTAAGGACTTAGTCCTAAAATTTAGTTTTTCATTTTAAACTTCATTTTTCAAGCTCAACCTTTATGTGAAAGGATCATGGTCGGGCTCACAAGCTCTTTTTTTAAAAAATAAAAAAATTAAAATAAAATTAAATATTATAAATTAATTAAAATATTTTGAAATTAAAAAAAATAAAATTCACATAATTTTTTAAAAATTAAACAACACACATTTATAAGTCTAGTAATAAAATTTAAATCTTGGTTAAAAAATAGGTTATTTTTTATAAATACACAAACATGATAATTACAGAAAAATAAAAAATATCATAAATTTTATACTATACACTGATATTTATTAAATTATATTAAATTAATTTTAGAATAAATTAAAATAAATAATAATATAATGCGTGTAGGACCAGGAGAGCAGGTCATTAGTTTCAAACTTGTGTTCTATCAAAAAAAATAAAATAACAAAGATTGAAGGGCCGCTCGGGCCCAAGCCTCTTTTTTACAAGGCTCATCAGGACCAAACCCTCAAGCCTGATTACTTTAAAAAAATTATTTTTAAAACCCGAACCTTTATTTAAACAGAACTTTTAAGCCCGACTCTCCAGGTCAGGCTCTTATTCCTTTCTCTAACTACATCTCCTTAATTACAGGGAGGTTGTTAAAAGTGACTTATATATAAGATGAAGGAGTATTTATTTTTATTTTTGGCTATAATTATAATTTAAAAATACTATTATATATTTTATTTTTCTCAGGATGGGCTTTAGCCAACAAATTCTAGAAAAAAAGTTAAATATATTTTGGTAAGAAATTTTAAGAAAAACTATTTATATTTTTTCAATCTTCATAAGGCCCTACTATATATTAAAAAGTTACCCTTATGATAAGAGCAACATATTGCAAGATGGAAATTATTGCTTTAGATTTTAATTTACATGAGACAATCAATGATGGATTGAGAATATTTCTTGGGGTCAAATTTTTTTCTTGGATAAATTATGGGGAGAGAACTTTATAGGAAATATATTTTTAACTTAATTTTAAAATTTTCCCATATACTAATTAATGCTATGCTTGGATATGCATAAATTTGGATTTGAATTTTAGCCAAATTTATTATTTAGATAATTAAAAATGTATGGATTTGAATTTGGATGTTCTCTGTTGATCTCTTTGTAATTTACAATCCTTTCTAAACCCTTATTATTTCAAATCCTAACTTAAGTTTTTTTTGTAATTTGACCCAAATGAATGAAGGCTTGATTGACCTGCCAATGATAATTGGATTGAACTGTCAAAGTTGATGGAAACAAGGTGCCATTATTAACTGAGATGGGACAGTCGACTTCCACCGAGATCGGACCGACAACGACATTGCCATCACCTTTAGTCTGGTCACAGTCAATATCGTTGTTGGTCCAGTCCAGTCATAGTGAAATTAAGCCTTTTGGTCCCCATCACCGTCACCGTTGGTTTAGTCCGGTCCCCATCACTGTTGTCGTCAGTTCGGTCTGATCCTGTGGAAGTCAGCTGTCTGATCCCCGTCATTGACGTTTGTCAGATCTTGGTAGAAGTCAGTCTTACAGTCCTCGTCGTTGGCTTTGATTCGATCTCGGTGAAAGTCAGCCGTCTGGTCCTCGTCGTTGCTATCGGTCCGGTCTCGATGGAAGCTTATTGTCAAATTCTCATCGTCGCCATCAATTTGGTTCTAGTGGAAGTGGAAAGTCCCATCCCGGTTGTTGTTGGTGCCACAGTTCCTATGGGCTTTATTTGTTTGATCCCGTTTGAGATTGGCCATTAGAATCGTCAAGTTTAACTAATATTCTAAGTTTCTTTGAAATTCAAATATATAATTTAAATTATGAAATTTTACTTTAGATCCAAATAAAAGATTTTAATAATGTAATTTAAATTTTTATATCATCTAAATAAAAAATTTAGAATTTATGAATTTTAAATGTGAGATTTCAAATATGAAATTTTAAATTTAAATTTTCAACTTAAATCCACCCATCCGAATACAACCTAAAAAAAAAGTGCAATTGTATTTAGGGATAACACACTTTAAGATAAAATAAATAATTAGTTTCACCTTTATTATGTTATGATGGCTTCCAATGTAAAATCAAATGTAGTATCTAAAGCATTTTTAAGAGGTTTTTGAAATCGTTATTCTCATCAGACTTGTCCTTGATAATTGATGGAGTTTTAAAATTATGCATGTCAACATTTCTTAAATTATTGACTATGCCTTTTATTTTTCCCCTCAATTTATAATTACCCCGCCAATGTTGAACTTTATTACCTTCTGAAAATAGTTACCTTTTCCCCCCTATGAAGTTAACGTGACGATTCACCGTAGATCTTTTTGTACAAAACGGACCCATGTCTAATTTGGCATCAATGTCGACGGGATCAAGGGGCATGTGTCAAGTCACCGATTAAAATCAAGAATAAGATTTGTACCGAAAAATATCCAACGAACTCAAGATCGTTCATTATTATTATTTTCTTTCGCCTAATGCATTTAAAATTTAATTCTACAAAATACGTTCTGTAGTTGGTACAGAAAGCACAAAAAAATAAAATATAATATAATAATATTAAAAATTGAATAAATCATTAAATCGGTCATGTAATGATCAAAACTGTAGCCTAATTATAATCACACTAGTTATAAATAAAATATTCTATTGAATCAAGCAATATATTAGTTCAATAATTTACTAGTGACTTAAGGCTTATTTAAAACTATTTTTATTTTATTATTTTAAGAATTAGTATTTTATAGAACATGTTTTCAAAATAAAATAAAATAATAAAAACAAGTATTTTTTACATTCTTTTTTGTTCATCAGAATAATGATCTTGAAACATCTAAAAGATGTTTTCTTTCTCTGTTTTTTAGAACAATTTAATTTTTTTATTCTTCAAAATACTTTTAAAAAACATGTTATCAAACATTTTTTTTTGTTCTAGAGATAGAAAATTGTTTTCAAAATAAGTTGCCAAACAAACCCTTAGTTTTCAATATGATTTCATCATTCCTCATGCAAATGCTTTTGGGTGTATGGGGTTTAGAAGTATACTCTCTCCGTTCAAAAATATAAGGTATTTTTAATCAAATTTCACCCTCATAGTTATCTACTTTTCAACTAACCCTATCTTTTTATATTTATCCCTATTAAATACCCTAATATCAATATAAAGTCATTATTAATAGGGGTACTTTAAAAAAAGTAATAATTACACCTCAAAAGATAAAAAATATCTTATATTTTTTAACATTTAACTTCTCAAAAAATACTTTACATTTTTGAACGAAGGGAGTATGTATTTGGGTCAATTTGAAGGACCAAATTTCTAATTGAGACAAACTCAAATTTTAAAAAATAGAAGAACAAAACGTGGCATGAGAGACTAAATTAACAAAAAATTAAACAAATTTTAAGACTAATTTATTTTCATTTAACTACATATACTTGTCAAGTCATTAAAATTTTTTACATGTTAGATTAATTTGAGGGTAAATTTATTTTAAAAATTTAAAAGACTAACATGATAATTTAATAAACCTAAAGGATCAAATTGATAAAAATTAAACTTGAAAAACTAAATCAATAATTGAGCCAAATTTAAGGACTAAAAGTTTTATTATCCCATATTTGCTCCAATTTTTTTACAAGAAGCTTCCAGCATTATCATTGAAATCAAGGGAGATACATATTAAAATAAAACATATGTCTCATTTTACCCCCTTTAGACGCATGGTGTAACTTTTGGAAAATGGATAATATGAGAAAAATATAATAAAGCTCTCCATGGAACTTTATAAGAATGACCAAAAGTTTCCCTTTATGTTTCATGAAAAAAGCAACAGAGGAGTAAGATGTAAAGCTATAAAAAGTTGAGAAATAGAAAAAAGCCATTCTTGTGGCAGCAGGATGGCTAAGTAGCATAAATAGGATAAAGACATCACTAAGATGAAGAAACATCATCTCCTTATAATTTAATTTTAAATAAAATGCATTAATATACATCGACAAATAACATTTATTTCCTTCATACAACAATCGTGAAGATGCCATTAAAAAAAAAAAAATCATTGATTTCTAAAGGCAGCTTATAGTGTGTTCATGACCGATCTCTGCTTTGTTCATGCTCCAGGCAGTCAACTTTGAAACTCTTACACCCTGAGTTCCGTTGTTGAAAACATAAAGATGAGCATCATCATCTATTGCCAAGGACGGGTATACTCTGGAGGTAATACAAACCCTTCCTCCTTCTCCAAAATTCTCGATAATGGAGTGGTCAATCTGCATTAATCACCGCAATCCACATGTTACACTTCCACTCAAGAACGTTATCTAGAAGACTTATCAGTATCACTACCAACTCACATACCAGGCTTCTAAGTGAAATGGTTCTGATCTTATCATCAAAGTCAAAGAACGATCCATATGTTGTTTTATCGAGGTCCTTCCGCATAGAAGACCTGTAAACAACTCTCAACCACAATCAACGAGAATTCAAGATCAAGCCAAAGTAAGAAAGAGTTGGGGCTATTCGGCAATTAAAGGAACCTGCTTTGATCACTGCACATGAGACCTATATATCTGTTGGGAGCTTTATATACTTTGAAGAAGATTGCAGTTTGCTCTGCCTGGTCCTCTGAAGCCAATGCTGATAAACCGAATGGTCCTATGATTCCACTCTGGGATGCAGATTCTTCACTGCACAGTACTTGGGGATCAACCTCTGCGGGATGTATCCTCTCTGCATTTTCTAGTTCAGGTAGCTCAAACAGCACCTCTACATCCACCTTCAAGATCGAAACAAAAGTCAAACAATTGATTTCGCCTAGAGAAAAAAAGAAAAATAATACCCTCTTGGCTTACCTGTGAGGCAGTGATTCCTGAAACTTCAAGAATTGATTTGCTCACGAGTTTCTCTCCAATAATACTAACTTGCTCCTTACGTAGTTTCTCTACGTCTTCAATCGGCCACTGTATCAATCGCTTCCTACTTTTATCAAGCCAGACTTGCCTGGGAATGGACTGCACAGCCAAAAATCACTATCAACTTGACATAAGATATGAACATATCCTTTAAACTTTTGTATGTTTAACGAAGGTACCTGGAGACCAGCCCATCCTTTGTTTATATCATCTTGTGAGGTGTCTGACTCATTCACCCATCCCCAGAGGACCCTCCTGTTCTTGGCATGGTCAAAAAATGTCTTCGAAGCATAGAATTTACCATAATCGTACCTCAAGTCCAAGCTAGTTCCAGTAAACTTGGTATCAGGAATAGCTTCTGATCGGAGATATTTCCTATATAGAAGTCTGGGATACGTAAGTAAAAATCCTATCAACTTGACATAAGATATGAAACATATCCTTTTAAACTTTTGTATGTTTAACGGAAGGTACCTGGAGACCAGCCCATCCTTTGTTTATATCATCTTGTGAGGTGTGACTCATTCACCCATCCCAGAGGACCCTCCTGTTCTTGGCATGGTCAAAAAATGTCTTCGAAGCATAGAATTTACCATAATCGTACCTCAAGTCCAAGCTAGTTCCAGTAACTTGGTATCAGGAATGAAGCTGTTCTGATCTGAGAGATATTTACCTATAAAATAGAAGTCATGTGGATTACGTAAGTAGCCTATCTTCAATATGTGCCTCACATTGGGATTTTCTGAAGATGTGTCGACCCCATTAGTGCTATTGATCACAACTGGAAAGAAATCTGGGCATTTCAACTACTCCAGTATTATCAGACGCATAGAAGGGATTAGCATCTACAGTCCAATTAACAAAATCCTCAGTTTGGGCCAGAATCACCTTCCCTTCATCACCATTCTGAGCACCAACTATTACTCTCCATTTTCCATCCTTTCCCAGCCAAGCAGTGGATGGGTCTCTGAATTGTCCAGTTCAACTCCACTGGGTGGAGTCATGACTGGGTTACGAGGATATTTGATCCACTCCCTCAAGAAAGGGTCTGATAGATTCTTTGGAGTGGCCAAGTTCTGAACTTGATGTTTATTAGCATCAATCCCGGTGTACAAAATCAAGAGTTTTCCTGAGAAAATCGTGGCCGCCGAACCAGACCAGCAGCTATTAATGTCAGATGGCTGGCTGGGTTCAATAGCGTTGCTCAAATGAATCCAATTGATGAGATCATATGATACAGAATGTGCCCATACCATTCTATCCCCAAACGTTGCTGCATAAGGGTTGTATTGGTAGAATAAGTGATACACCCTCTATAGTACATTGGTCCTGCCACAGAATTCACATTCTCCATCGTCATTAGATCATTGGTTTGGATCTCATCTCATTGAAATTAATGATATTTCAAGTTGACTCAAGACAAGGGCAGCTTCAAAAGGAACAGATAATGTTACATTTCAATTTCAACGAAGGTTCGCTTTCATAATAGCTTACCATTTGGATCTGAACAATCAAAATTGAGGTTCCCCCATCAAAACATGTCAAACAAGTAGAGATAGGAGTTAGAAGCGATATCAGTGAATTTGAACAGAAAAGAGAGATAAGAATCATGTAAAATACAATATTGGTAAAGGTCATACCATTCATCCAATTACGGGAGGGCTGAAAGTGATAAGAAGTTCGGTACGGCTGTGTTTCTGAGATTGAATCAATGCTGTGCGAAGACGCTTCAATCTGAATCCCACAGTCTAGCAGAAAACTAAATAAGCGGATGAGCAGAACTGTCACTGCTAATCTCTCCATCGTTAAGAGAGGCCCAGCATAAAACCAATGGCTTTGCCTTCTTGTCTTGATCATCATCTAGTTATATGGATCATGCGTTTGTCGTTTGTGGGAAAGGCACATGATATTTCAGCCAATTAAATACCTTTTTAAGAAGCATACAAGCGGAAAGCGGAATCCACGTGTATTTTCTATTCTATTTTCTCTCTGCTGCAGTCAGTACTAAATAGACCAAAAAGTCATCATCCCTTACGCGCAAAGTTTTTGGGCATGGTTTCAAAAATCAAACCGACCGGCAAATTGGATCGAAAACCGAACTGGACCACCAGCGATCCAGATGTAAAAAGCCGGGGTTGGAAGAGTTGAACGGTTCAGGAAAGTTGATCTTATCAGCTTAATTGCACTGGGGAAAGGCCGAGAAAAAGATGAAAATACGAAAAATGAAAATGATAATAATATAATAATAATAATAGTAAAAAAGCCGCGAAGACTTTTTCAACAAAGCTTTACCTTATTCGTTTTTGCAATAAGGAAACTGTCAGATCTGTCATGAAACCATTAGATCGGATGAGAATGGCGGAGCTGCTGCACCTTATACACGGCGTGGGCGGCGGAAAGAGCAGCAGAAGGAAGGAGACGAAACTTTTACAATTTTATGGGTGTAAAGTCAAATCCTCCTCTTTTCACGTACTCCTTGTTTTTAATATTATTAATATTAAAGAATTAAAGAATCCGCAGGACAGTGGAAGAGAGGAGGCGGGGAGGACTTGCGAAACCAGGCAGATGAAAATATTAATTTCACAAAAGTTTTGGCAAGAAAAGATTAAATTGATACTTATTCTGAGGTGATTTAAAATAAGATTACACGTATAAATAAAGTTAATAATCACACTTTATTAATTTATTTTTCAAAAAAATATAAAATTTAATAATAACCTCCATTTAATAAAATTTAAAATTTATAATTATTTCAATTATATACCCTGGGACAACAAAGTTCTGAACGGAACTAATTTCATACAAATGAATATTGAGAGTCATTGTTTTTAGACTATTCAAATTCAATTTGAATTGTCTAAATTTACAACGTTTTATTTTTATTTTTTAAAATTATTTATATGGACACGAAATTTAAAATAAAATATATATTGACTGTTAGTTTTTTAAAAAAAATTTATTTAAAAAGCATCAATTAAAAACTATAAATTTAAGATATAAAAATTACATATGAACGGTGTAGAGGCTATTAGCTCGTAGTTCTCATATGTATGATAAGTATTAAAATTTTAAATGTTGTCTTATAATTTGAAAAAAAAGAGTATTGTTAAATTCTATTTAGTAATTATGACTTATCAGAATCTCTATGTTATTTTATCAAAAAGAATACAATGAAGTCTACTAAATTGTTATACCTGTTATGAATAAAATATAGAGATAATATAAATGAGTAAAAAGAGGAGTAGGAGAAAGAATAGAGGCAATGGAAAGTGGGATAAATTCTTGTATTTCTTTCATACTTTCAATAATATAAATAGATGCCATGTATAAATATATAGCCAAGCACTTACAACTTAGAGGTCTAAGTAATTGATTATGAATAACATACCATGAAAAATACATGAATTTTATGTGGGAGGCTGAAGCTTAAGAATCTCATAAATCACAACTTTTAAATAATATAATAAAGTAGTATGGGAGATGAACGCTCTAATAATTATGATATGGGGGATGGACATCTACATATAATCTTTATATTTATAACAATATTTTTAAACAGGTTTGAAAGATAACTTATAAACTTTCTATATCATTAATGGAACATTTTTCACATAAATATTAATTTTATGGTTATAAATAAATTTGTTTTTAGAGTTTTATATGCAATATCGTCTTAAAAATATTAAGTTAATTATAACCTGGTTGATATTATTAACTCTTGAATTATTATTTGTCTTGTTTAATGTCCATTCTATTTTTTAAAAATTATTTTTGATTTTTTGATACATTATGATTTAAGATTTTTATTTAAGTGAAATATTAAATTATACCAACTAAACATTATTGTTGGACTCAAGTTAACTCTTAAATTTATTATTTTTATATTTTTAATTTATAAAATTATGTCAACTTACTTATAAAATTTGAATTAGATATAAGTTTGGTCAAATTTACAAGTTAATTTTTAAATTTATTATTTTTTAATTTCTAACTTATATAATCATGTCAATTCATTTATATAAATTCAGACTACATGCAAGTTTAGTTAAACTTGTTAGTTGAATGAATTAATTATATATTGTATAAAACTTAGTTCATAAAAATGGTAGAACCTATTTTAAAAAAAATTAAACTAAAAAAGAAACAAAAAAATATTAATAGAAAAAAAAAAGAAACGCCAAAAATAACTTTCCATGTTTTGAAATGTATATGTTGTTGAGTATGTCAATTATCAATATAGATATAATATTGTTTTTGGTGAGCTTTTTTGTGTGTTTATTTTGGATTTGACTGTTAATGTTTGTATTACTTGCTTTTGGTGATTAATAATATTGTCTTTGTTGGCCAAAAAAATTATCAATATAGATATAATTTTCATTTCAATAATTTATTTTTAAAATACATTTAAATAAAGTTATGTTCATATTTTATATTTAACTATATATTTTTAATAATTATTTATTAATAGAAAAAAATCCATGTGATTTATTATTTGAATTTATAATTTAAGTTTATATTTTCATTATGATTTTACTTAAACTCATAAGATTCACATCCTTGCCACTAAACTTTGTATAATATTAATATTACACTTGCATTGGTTTAGTGAAAAATTATACTCCCTCCGATAAAAAATATAAAGTATTTTTAATTGAATCTCACCCCTCAATAAAGTAATTATTTATTTTTAAATTAACTTTATTCTTTCATTTTTACCTTCATTAAATATTCTAAAATAAATATAAATCATTCATTAATAGAAATATTTTTTAAAAATAATAATTACACATTAAAAAATTAAAAATTTTTATATTTTTTAATATTTAACTCTTTCAAAATGTATATATTTTTTTAAACGGAGGAGGGAGTAGGTTTTTTGTTTTGTTTTGACGAAGTCTGAGGTCCTTGTCTCCCATATATATATATATATATATATATTATTGTATTATACTGCAGTGGAAAAAAAAAAAATCTCCAGGCAACGCGTGAAGATAATTTAAAATATTATTGTGATATTGTTATTATAATGAAATTTCCGTTCAATGACAATAATTTATATAAACTGTATCCGTCAGATACTTTTGTCTGACTTTGTAATTTGTATAATACTATTTGAGTATACATTTCATTTTGTGGTGTAACAAATTTCGGGTGTTTATTGCCCACTTGCCTCTACCAATGCTTAAAATTATCGAGATCATGAGCATTAGCAAAGACAACAGATGCCCCAGACCAATGGCATAACAATTTTAAATTTTTTACCCGATGTTTTGGACGTGTTGTCTTGTTAATGACAAAATTTGTCAGATTAAGATTAAATCCTTCACTTTTTGTGCACGAGAAGCTCGGCTTATTTTAAACAAATCATTGCAATGTCAATGCTCTTGTAAACTTAGTAACATGCAAGCTCTTCTATATATATTAAAGGTTACAAATTCAATGCTTCTTATAATCTTATGTCACTAATTAATGCTTGTCCCTTTAATTAAAAAATATATAAATCATTGCAATTCCTAATAGTTACATGAATATTCATTTTTTTAAACAACACTGAGTTTAAAAAAACGTTAATAGAAGCATTAGTGGTCGGGACTAACTAAATACCTACTCATTCTATCCATAAATAAAATATTGACACAGGAAATACATTAATTAACGTAAGAAAATAAAAAGATCACCTAATAATTTTCTTTAACAAAAAAACGACACGTGTCTAGAAGTCAACTTTTTTTGAGAGACTAGACAGTTTAATTTCTTCTATCAACGTTTTTAATGAAACTAATAATTCTGCTCATGCTGGTTGACCAGACATTTAGAGAAAATTTAGATATTACGCTCTCTGCTTCAAATAATAAGATAATTTATGAGATATTTTGTTTTTTTAAAATATAAAATATTTTGATGAAAATAAAATTTTATTAATAATTTTTTTAAAATTTACCCTTAGAATTGAAATGATGTAATGTAATGATTAAACACGTAGATTTTAAATTATATTGAATGAAATGTATCTTTAAAAATTTATATTTTATTTTAAAAAATAGATTTGTAAAACATCATTGTTTAATTTTATTGACACACGAAATTTATTATAAATTATTTTATAATTTAGGATGGGAGGGTACGGCCTTCAATGAACCACTCCAATACTCCAATATCGTGAAACCCCACAACTCTTGACATGACTCAAACCCAAAGCTAGCTGGTTTTCCTTGAAATGCATTGAGGTGCTAGAGATAAAGCACTAATTCTCTATAAGTTGCGAGAGTGGTATCAAATCGAGAGAAACTTTAAATACTGGATATGATCTCAAAATAACAGAGATTAAGGTTGGTTAGTGAAATGGTAGGAGATAAGTTTCATCATCGAGAGAAGCAACTTAGAACATCATCTAAAGCTCTGAAATGACAAACTCAGTAAAAGAGGAAGTAGGGGTGCTATGATAGCTTTATTCACTTGCTTGTCAATTTTTAATTAAGGAAAGACCTGATACATACATGATTATGTAAAAATTCAAAGTGTTGATCTGTTTGAATGATTGGATTTATTAATTAATCTCTCTCATTAATTAATTGATTTTCTTAATCAAACCAAGATCCGATTCTTTCAAAATATAAGAAGCTCGAACGGCCCAAACCATCTAGCCATCAAGTTCACGTACTTATTTGACTTTATACTATCAAATTATTATCACTGGTTATTAATGTTAAATTGGCATAGCATATTCAGGGAATTGCGTCTCTTGGGTCCATAAGGGGCTCGACAAATTATTGTCACATACCGGTATTACATTTTGTATCGTAGATTCAGCTTTCCACTATATATCATAATCATAGAGTGGGAATCTCCAACATCCACCATTATTTGGGGACAAGTGTCCCTGACCCCACCTTATTTGTTGAGCGCTTAAATTCATGGGGAATGCATTAGGCCACTTGATTGCGTCCTCACGCGCTGCAGCGTGCAGAGCAATTAACCTCTTTGTTTTTTTTTCAATCCACAAAAGTAATTAACTTCTCGATACAAACCATTATTTTCAATTTTTCATATCACGACTTAATGACAGGTCGCATTTTCAGTACTACACACACACAGCTATAATATATATATAGCTCCGGACGCATTATTAGTTTTTTATACTAACAATTGAAAATACTGACATTTCACATAATTAAACACACATATTTCACGAGTTATATAAGACACGGTTTTATAATGTTAAGTCGTGTGCAAATAATTATTGGGCTTTCAAACTTTGAAACGAGCAACCTTTATTGTGTATATATACATACATACATACATCTATGAGATTGAGATTATATGTACATAAACAATCAGTTTAGTACATTGTTAATAATGAGAAGGGATGAAATGGTTCATAAAAAGAAGAAGCTAGAAAATAAAGTCCATCAATCTTTGTCAGGTGGAAGTGCCTCTCAAAGCATGTGACATGAATCGAATAAAACGTACTATTAGATAAGAGGGTGTACCAGAAATGATTTCTAAATAGATTACCAAAAATATTATCGCCAAAAGTTGGAATTAAAAAGGCAGCCTCATGTACTGGATGGGATAGATTACCAAAAATATTATCCCCAAAAGTTGGAATTAAAAAAGCAGCCTCATGGATTGGATGGGATTCGACCAAACTCTGCTAGTTCATGCCTCGTTATTGTTTCCACCATTTGATTGTCCGTGTGTGTAAACTTCATCTTCTTCTTTTTAATTCTTTCGCTCTCTATCTCAAGTCCCTGACTTAGACAAATTCTGTTGGAGTTTATAGGTACCTCTTTATTAAGACACACATTTTATTAAAAATTTAATCACTATTATTTATTCAGGGCTCAAACTCAATATCTTTAATTAGAAAGGATCAAATTTTTAACGAATCGATTCAAATGTCTAGTGTTGTTTGATATATATAACTTTGTTCCGGTTAGTAATGTATATAACTTTTTATAACCTAAAGCACTTGTTTTTCTATTTATTTATGCTCTAAAGTCTACAAAGCATAAGCATTATCTTGTTTCACGTATCTTTCACCTAGTAGAAGAGCGATTGGTGATAATTTGGCATGTGACCAAAGATCCGGCCTTTACTTTCCATTATTGTTTTTTTTTTTTTGGGAGAAATCGTACTTAAAAATTGAAATTTACTCAATTGAAGAGGGAAAAGAGAGAAGAAAAGAAAAGCAAGTCTCGATTTTTATCTAGTGGGGTCTCGCTGTAGTAAATTTTATTTAATTTTTATCTCTTTCTCCTATTTTTCTGATTCAATTAATTTTGATATAGTCATGGTATCTTCAGATTATATATTATTACTGGTAAAAAAAAGATTATATATTACTATTATTATTTTCTGTGCTTTCTTCTGCATTGAGATGGGTCAAGATTTGTGGGCTCTTTTTTTCCATTGTGAGATTGTTGTGATGGGTAGTATGAGTATATATTCAGATTATTACGAGCGGCTACCATTTGGTGCTCCTTTTGCGGGTCTCTGTCTTTGAAACCAATGGATGATCAATAAAATTAATGAATAAATTTTTATTTTTATTTTTGTAATTATCATGAACGGATGGTGAAAGAAGTTTCAATTTCGGACGGATCACTTCCCTTGTGGTTTTGTGGAGGATTTGGTGGTCAATAATTCCGGCACAAGTTGGTTCTTTAATTATTGTTTTTAATACTGTTACGGATTCCTCATGTTCTGAAGAACAAGAATGTTCATTTTAGAAACACGCAGTGTTTGAGTTAATTACCTAGTTCAGTCTTGTTTGGGCCTTCTGGCCCATTTATTATGATCCCCGTCTCTCGCTCAGGAATGCTCAAAGTAATGTCACGAGTTATTAACAAAAAAAAAAAGAAAAAGTAATGTCACGAGTCATTGCACGAATGCAGAATCCTGGTAATATCTTTTTTTTTTCCATTCCTCTTTTGGCGGCCTAGCATTTCAGGAAAAAATATATTTTTTTTAATTCCAAATGAACGCACTCTTTTGTTTTTGATAAGCCTTTAGTTGAAATGAAATATTTACAAATAAAGCTTGTAATTTGATCTGGTTGGGCTCAATTTTAGCGAACTTGAATAAATTCAAACCTGTAAAAAGTCCATTTGGCTAGCTTGGTCGAACATTTTTAAGTTTTAGGCTAATTTGAGTAGTCGTCAATATCTGAATTATTGAATATTTTTATTTTAAAATTCAGTATTTTATTATTAAAAATATAAAATATAATTTTTTAAAAAAAGTAAAAATGCTATTAAGGTATTTAGGCTTATTCGAGCAGGTCCAAACATTAAAAATGCATTATTTTTAAAGTTCAACTCTAATTTTTTTTAAATTTATTCTAACTATCCTGTTAAATTTGACTTGAATTACTTGCTATACTTACAAATGCAAATGTTTTTAACAACATTTAATTAATCATTGTACCCTGTAGGGATCCATCTGTTCTCCTAGATGGAAAAATAAAGTTTGATTGCAATTTCAATATCAATATCAATATCAATATATATATATATATATAGCTAACAGGATTATTTACAAGTCATGGTTGAATTTCATGGGCTACTTCAAACTCATTTATGAATGTTGTCTTTCACAATATATTGAAAAAAAAAAAAGTTTGGGCCTTGGGTTGGCTTAAAGTGTAGCTTGGCCCAAAAGTTAAGCAATTGGAGTTTCATAAAATTTAGCATCTCTTCGTGATGGAACATTTGAGTAATTTTTTATAATTCAACGGGGTAATATAAAGTAATATTTAATATTAAAATTAAAAGAAAATTAATTATTTAATTATGAACAAAATAAAGTAAAAACTTTATCGTAATCTTGTGTCCTCATATAACTCCTTCATATCATAGTCCATGCTCACCACGTCATACAAACACATTTTTGTAGGCATCCGTTTTATTCAACAAAGCCGAATGGAATTGAATATTTAAAAATACAATAAATTAGTAAATTTTGCATGAAAAATATCAGTTATATCCTGATCTTAAATAGTAAAAAAACCATATAATAGTTATTATATAATGACATTACTATACTATAAGAGAAATTAATTTTTTAATTCTTTAACTTTTAATTCACTTGTATCTCAATTTCTCAATTATAACTTGCTCCAATTCAATCTCTTAACTTTTGACTCACTTATAATTCAGTTCTTGTTTTTCAATTTTTTTTAAAAGTTATCCTTATTAAATAAGAAAAATAAAAGAAATGCTTATATTTTATTCTAAAATACACTTTTTTTACTCTTTGACATGAGGTTTATGCTAATATGAAAAAAAAAGAATTGACAAAAGTTGAAAGGCTGAATCATACGCTTGAGATTCAATTATAAGTGAATTAAAATTTTAAGTACTAAAATATTAATTTTACCTATACTATAATATATATTAAACATTTGCATGTCTCGACATTTGGGTTTACATATCCTTCCAAATGGAGCCTAAATTTGTTTTGATATACATATGACCCTTTCTTTTTCCCCTGATGAATCGAAGACAACGTATGTTCACTAATTGATGGTAATTAATAATTAAATCAATTTAACAATCATATGAATTATACGAAAGTTGATACATAATTAAAAAGTCTGCAATCACCTCATTTATAATAAGGTTCAACGCACAATGGGAGAGAAAATATAAAATATACTACAATCAAACCGTTCAAAGCTCTTGACTAGACTAGCGTGACCAGTTCATTGCTGATCAACTAAGGTTGAGTTTTAACAGCGTGATGGACAATCACACTCATAATGGGGAATTGAAACATTGGAATATCAGAATTTTAACGTGGGAAGGGTCGTCAAAGTGAAAAAAAGTTGAAAGGACGAAGTTTGCTCAAGGAGTGGGTGTAACTAGTGGTTGTTTCTGGAGTGGAAAATGATGTAACAAGGAGAGAAGCAACTAGTAGACGAAACTTTATTGTCAACTTTGCTGAAATCATATAATTTTCAGCTTACAAAACTCCAAAAAGAGCGTACTGCCTGCAAGTACTCTCAAACCTGCTTTAATCATCCAACCAATCCCCCGACTTGTTCCTTTCCACGCAATTTTTCTCTTCTCCTTCTTTCTTTTTTTATTCACTCTCTCTCTCTCTCTCACGCACACATACACGTATATTATCTCTACTTGGATTTACTCATTCATTTATATGGTCGTGCCAATAATTTTACTGGGTAATAAACAATATTACCAGCACAAAGATCCAAAACCCAGGGGCAGTGAAACCCCATGCACTACTTTGACAGTAACACTTCAATTGCACCAAAATGGATAATTATCTTGTTATTATTATATTGTTATTCCTTGAATGAAATCAGATATACGAGGGAGTGACCTGGAGTATTTGAAAAGGGAACAAATGTGCAAAAGTAAGGAAAAGATTCTCTAAAAAGGGCAATTTCCACTTTGGTTTCCATTAATTAAGAGGTGCGTGTGTTTGGGTTTTGTTTTTGTTTGGTTATTATTATTAACTTTGGTTTTGCCATTTAAGGATTAATTTCCACTTTGGTGTTCCATTAATTAAGAGGTGCGTGTGTTGGGTTTTGTTTGGCTAACTTTGGTTTTGCCACTTTAAGGATAATGTTAGCACTGTTGTGTAGTAAAATAAAATTCTTATGGAAATCGGCACATGCATTATGCAAAGATTTATGATCTGTGTGAATTTCACAGGTGGGATTAGGTGAAATTGGAGAATTTGACATAGCTAAAGATGCGGCGAAGCAGCTAGTCAATTCCAACCCAGAACCCACCACAGCAGTCCTAGTTCCTCAGAGCTCGATCACTTCATGGTACACGTGAGCGCGCATATTGTGTTAAAATTATGCGGCAAATTAAATCCATGCAAACTTAAAGCATGATATTTTCAATTAACAGGAAGCGTACTGCATGGCTCTGGGTAAGCTGAAAGAAGCCATAGAGGAACCTACAAGAGAGACGAAGGCTTTCATAAATGGAATGTATATAGATCTCAATGACCTCATCACTGACAAAATAATTAGTAGTCAACCAAATGATCCGCAAGAATCTCTATGATATCCACGATCCACTTCTCACCAATGCCATGGTATATGCTTGCGGGTAGTCGCTATATATATGTCATATAAGTTATAAATCTGGTTGTTGTACTGTAAGCAGTTTATGAAAATTTGAAGCTTAGCGATCCGAGTGAATATGCAGACCGATATGCACTAACTCGCCGGACGGTAATTAGTTGATGTTATGAAAGGATTTCTCTCAGCTGGCTGCTCTGCGAAAGCATTTATAGCTGTAATTTGGGTGCTCATTAGTCATCAGGTTTGATAAACTCTCTCTTCAATGTCTGAGTCAGGACTCGGGGCACTGAACGCCACGACTGTACTAGCACATTACGATAAAGTATATTACTCTCAGATGATTTTTTTTTCTTTTAGAATTAAGTTCTTGTAAGCGAACGAGGGGCACAGACATTATTAAACTAAAGGCTCGATCTCTCTGCCTGATCTCTGCTAAAAGAAAATTTGTGTGAAGAATTTAGAGCGGTGGATAAAAATCAAGACCCATATGTGTAAATCAGAACTAAGAAGTCATGGTATATATTATTGAAGGAAGTGCTACTTTAATTAAAGTTCTCCGTATGCATGAAAACCGACATGTTAGATAAACATGCAAGCATTGTTTGACTGCTGTTTTCTTTCACTTTTTTATGCTTCAACCTAAAGTTTTATTTCTATATGCTGACAAGTAAAAAAATCTTTCATTCAATATTTAAAAGGAACACTTGGTCCACCATAAATTAACCCCTAATTTTGTTTTTTTGTGCACAAAACTCCCTAATATTCATTTCATGCTTCAACCTAAAGGTTTTATTTCTATCTGCCTGACAAGTAAAAAACATCTTTCATTTCAATATTTAAAAGGAACACTTGGTTCACCTAAATTAACCCCCTAATTTTGTTTTTTTTGTGCACAAACTCCCTAATATTCATTTCATCAATATATGTGATCTTAATACATGAGACTATTTCTATCGTATGAGAAACCACACGAAATATGCTTCATCTTGGGCTAGTTTAATTAATAGCAAGTCGGGGAGCAGACATACTATATATGAAGTTTTTCGGGTTGAACATATACATAATTCGTACAAATTATGATGTCACCACACTGATGTTTTGAAAGAAAACAAATCACAGATATGAGGCAAGTCCCAAATAAAGAAATTAATCTAATAGATCTCTTAAATTTGACTTATTCCTACCAGGTCCCATGAAGAATTTATGCAAAAACATGGAGGATAAATCATAAATGGGATAATCTAACTGTTAGTGTCTAATTTCTTTTTCAATCATTGATTTAGTTCTTGAACTTTCACCCAATATAAATTAATTCTCGTAATTTTTGATTTATTGATTATGAATTATAGAAATTGAATTATATCAAGTTAAAAAAATATAAAGAGCAAATTATTTCAAATAAATCAAGTATAGGGAATGAAAAGTTTTAAATCAAAATTTAGGGATTGAAGCAATAACTGAGTAGATTCAAGGGTCGATAGTTATATTTTTCCACTTTAAATTTCTTTTGGGAAAATCACATATAGGGCTTGTGGAGTATATTTATTCATAAATAAGTCCTATAAAATTTAAAATTACAGTCAAGTTCCCCCACCTTGGGTATAATTTTAAATTAAGATACAAAGATAATCACACATCTATTAAAAATATATTATCATAAAGTAAACTTGTGTAACTTGTAATATTGAATATATGAAATTATGGTTCTAAAAAATTAACATAATAGTTATAAATAATTAGCTTAAACTTTATTACTAATATATGATCTATTTAGCAAATTAGATATGCATAGTTATAAATAATTAATGTTAAATTTTTAGTAACATATATTCTATTTAACTATTATATATGAAAAGTTATAACTATAAAATATTGAAGTGATAATTATAAATTATTAATGATATAGTTGTATATAGTTAGAAATAAGCTTGTAAATATTATTATCCATTTAACTATTAAAAATGTAAAATTATAATAAAAAAAGTGTAAACTAAGCTGAGAAGTAATTGTAAATTATTTTATTAACGTAATGTAATTTTTAATAAAAGCATTATTGCCTTTAAATTCTTTCAAATTATACTTATATTTTAAGAGATCTGACTATGATTTTTAAAGATAAAACTTACTTATAAATAAATTTGTTTCAAGAGCATTATATGTAGTTTTTCCATTTCTTTTGATTTCTGGGCCACAACAAAGTGGAAAAGTAAGTCTTGAAGATTAGATTCTAAGTGGTTTGATTGTACCAACAAAATCGGTCGAGTAAGGGTTGAAGAGTACAAAGAGGAAGAGTAATCCATTTTCGCGTCATCCCTTGCAGGCTTGTACTACAAGTCTACAGTTCAGGACGAATGAGGGTAGAGTTGGTTGATACTTGGGCCAAAAAATGAGTTGGTTTCGATTTGTTTTTATATCACAAAAATTCAATTGGCTCTGTTATTAATGAATGTTGATTTTTTATGTTATTACAATCCAAATCTGTGAATTTTAAGCTGAGGTTTGTCTCCTTTGTATTGTGTTGTAGTGTAGCCCCCGCCGCGGGGGGGGGGGGGGACTCCAGGGTAAGTCGACGATAATTTAAAGTAGTATTATTTGATGGTAAAACATGCTGTTTTTTCTTTCAAGATAAGATAGATAGAGTTGGGAATACGGGCGGGGCCCGGCCCTTTAGGGCCTGAGTCCTAAAGCCTGATTTTTCATTTTGACCTCCATTTCTAAAGCCGCCCCTTATACTCAGGGCTCAGGGTCAGGCCCGTAAGCCCTTTCTAAAAAATAAAAAAATTAAAATAAAATTAAAAATTATACATAAATTAAAAAATATTTAAAATTAAAAAATTAAAATCATCGTAATTTTTTAAAAATTAAATAACATACATTAGAAGTCTAATAATAAAATTTAAATCTTCATTTAAAAAATAGTTCATTTTTTTTATAAATATACAAAACATAATAATATAAAAAAAAATAAAAATATCATAAATTTTATACTATACACTGATATTTATTAAATTAGATTAAATTAATTTTAGAATAAAATTAAAATTAATAATAATATAATGTGTATAGGATCAGGTGAGCAGGTCATTAATTTCAACACGTGTTTTACTAAAAAAAAATAATAATAAAAATAATATAACAGGGCTTGAAGGGCAGCCCGGGCCCCCGAGCCCTATTTTACAGGGCTTATCAGGGCCAAGCCTTCAAGCCCGATTACTTTAAAAAAAAATTATTTTCAAAGCCCGAACCCTTATTTAAACAGAGCTTTCAGGCCCGACCCTTCAGGCCCGGCCCTTATTACCGACCTTAAAGATAGGATTATTATAATCAATTTTGGGCTCGATGACAATAATTTATAGAATTCCCATGCATCATGCACTTTTGGGTCATGTCTCGTCTATCTAAATTTAATCTATAGTCTCATGGAACAATGACGGAAATTATTTTAGCCCCTCTCCTCTAAAAATGAAGGTTTTTGGACTCAACTTTGGATTTTTATTCTCCACGGTTTAGTTTCTATTTTATATTATGAACAGAACAGGTGAGAGGTCAGGTGGCTCTACCAAGACCAAGACTTATTCAACTATTATTACTCCAATCCTTAATATAGGGCGAAGATTGAAAACAATTATAGTTCTAAATATAAGATGAATTTGAAGTAATAAATGTTTTTTAATTTTACTCTTGGTATATTTTTATATTATTTGTATTCCTAAATAATAATTTATTATAATCATTAATTATAAAAAGGTAAAATTGAGACTTTTTATATTTTTTAATAATTTTAAAGTTCTACATAACCAACTTTTTTAATCACGTTTGTTTTTGATTTTGTTTTGTATTAAAGACAGTAGGGAATTTTTTACTATCTCTTTGAAGATTTTTAATTAAAAATTTTTAGCTAATATTATCCTTATAACAGTATCAAATCCCTGAACTTTCCCCAAAACTTCTCTTTCTCCTTCTGTTCAATTTCAATTAAATCAAATAAAGGATCCCCTTTTTAAAAATTTAATTTAGAGCACAAAAAATAACAAATTAACCTCAATCAAATTTTGTCCTCAACTTGCGACTCATATTCAGGTCGAAAATCTGCTCAAGCCGACAGAGTGAAACTGGTTTTTGAATTGTCGATGCAACGAAGAATGATAATCTTTTTAATATTTTTTGTCAAACATAATAATTTTTGTTAAACAATACTTCATTTTTTCCTTGACCACATGCCACGTAAATGTTATAATTATTAAACTAAACTATCATTAATTAAATTTGTGTCTAAATTGACCAACCTACACGGGGTTGTGGCTAGTTGTTAGTTAAATCAAAATAAAGGATCCTCTTTTTAAAAATTTAATTCAGAGCACATAAAATAACAAATTAACCTCAATCAAATTTTGTCCCCAACTTGCGACTTATATTTAGGTCGGAAACCTGCTCAAGCTGACAGAAGCTCGACCCTGGTTTCCAATCCCACGTGCCGCCGGGAGGTGAAGGCCTAACTCAAAGGCATTTTCCCAACTTGCTCTGTTTTAGAAAGCAGAAACCACTCAAGAGGCATTTTGCTTCTCTTCAGCCGTCATTACAGTCTTCTCTCTTCCTCGCTAAAACCCTCTTAAACCCTGTCTCATCTTCTTCCTCGCTCGCTCGCTCGCTCGCTCCCTCTCTCGTTCTCAACATCTTCCCACAATGACTACTCTCTCTCTTCCTCTCCAGAACCACTCTTTTTCTGCAAACACGCCCTTAATCCGATCCAAATCCAGACAATTCCCCATTTCCTCGAAGGTCCGGATGTCCCTTCAAGAAACTGGACCATCCATCGCCGTCGTCGGTGTCACTGGCGCCGTCGGCCAAGAGTTCCTCTCCGTACTCTCCGACCGCGATTTCCCTTACCGTTCCATCAAAATGCTCGCTTCTAAGCGATCCGCCGGCAGGCGCTTCACGTTCGAAAGAGAGAGACTATGTCATCGAGGAACTCACCGCCGAGAGCTTCGACGGCGTTGATATTGCTCTCTTCAGTGCCGGTGGTTCGATCAGCAGAGAATTCGGGCCCCTTGCTGCTGATCGAGGGGCCATTGTTGTGGATAATAGTTCGGCGTTCCGGATGGACGAGAAGGTGCCGCTTGTGATCCCAGAAGTGAATCCTGAAGCCATGGAAAATATTAAGCTTGGAATGGGCAAAGGGGCGCTCATCGCGAATCCTAATTGCTCTACTATCATCTGCTTAATGGCCGCCACTCCTCTTCATCGACGAGCTAAGGTTTGAATTTGAAATTGGTTCTTTAGGCTTATGATACGAAGTGAGGCGTGTTTTGTTTTTATTAATCCTAACTTTGGGTTTTGTTTACTTGGTTTGATTTTTGGAACTGCTCGTTGATCAATGTATATTGTGATTCTGTGAATGAAATTTAATCGAAATTTATCACTTCTTGCTGTTGCTAACTATTCATCCTATCGGATAAAAATCTTAATAGGTGTGCTATCATTATCAGTGTGCTACATTAATTTATGCTTGCCTATCTACTTGCATCCTTCAAGCTGTCTTTATGCATGATTAGCTACTCAATCATTAGTTATATTTCAGGTATTGCGTATGGTTGTTAGCACTTATCAGGCTGCTAGCGGTGCTGGTGCGGCTGCAATGGAAGAGCTTGAGCAGCAAACTCGTGAGGTTCAGTCTATAAGAAGATTTTATTTTATTTTTTTTCATGTATCAATATTATCATTTGAGTGGTGAAACCAATTTCATTGCTTTCAATGATGAATTGTTGTGTGAATTAAGGTACTGGAAGGAAGGCCGCTGACCTGTAAAATATTTAAGGAACAGGTTTGGCCTTATCTGGATATACTTCTTAGTATCAAATGTCAAAGGAATGTTTTCTAATAATATTATTTTGCAGTATGCTTTTAATCTGTTCTCACATAATGCATCTGTTCTCTCAAATGGGTATAATGAAGAGGAGATGAAAATGGTGAAGGAGACAAGGAAAATTTGGGTAAGCTGAAAATGAATTTTCTTTATTGGCTCGTTTTACAATTTTGTTCACTATGGTTTCAGTATTACATACTTATCTGGAGCCTTTTATTATATATTTTATTTGAAACTTTGCAGAATGACAAGGATGTTAGAGTAACTGCTACGTGTATACGAGTTCCTGTCATGAGGGCTCACGCTGAGAGTGTAAACCTCCAATTTGAGAAACCCCTTGACGAGGTAGTTTATGTTGTCATGTTATATGTTTTTAGGATCTGGCCATAAGTACACAATTATTCTATAACTACGAATTAAGCATTTTATCTCAAATCTAAACGCTTTTTTGGGCCTGAACAGATCTAAATACCTTCCGTGTTTCTGGCAAATAAATTGGACTTATCAATATTGTCTGCCTCCGAAACTTGTAAAAGGATTAGACTTGCAAGTTGTGCTTTGTTGTAGCTTTTGGTAAAGCTCAGGATCTTATTGTTTTCCTGTTCATGATATTTATTGTGTTTTCAATTTTCATTTGATTTCACTCACCTATTCATTTATCCAAGTGATTGATCAAGTGGCTTAGATTTTTTCTGTTTCATCTATTCTGACTTTTTTCTGGGTGATAACCAAGGACAGAGAATCAACCCCCATGAGAACTAACCCGCAATGTCTTGGGTTGATTAAACATATAGTTATAACTTACTTTTGACGAAGGATATAAATAATTACAAAAGTAATCTATAACTCTGCTTCTTGCTATTCCCTCCAGCCTAACTCACCTTAATGACGAATCTTTGCAGTAAAACCTCAATGCCTTGTTTATGGAAGAAAACGTGGAACTGGTCCTAAAAATCCCACTCTCACTTTGTTTCAATTGATTTAGGACACTGCAAGAGATATTCTAAAGAATGCTCCAGGTGTTGTGGTCATCGATGACCGTGCGTCGAATCATTTTCCCACTCCATTGGAAGTTTCAAATAAAGATGATGTCGCTGTAGGGCGGATTCGCCGTGACTTGTCTCAAGACGGGAATCAAGGGTAAATCTCTTTCAGTGCAATAAATTAATTAATTGAGAAATCAATTTACTCTGTAATTTTCATAGTTGTCATCGTTTTCTACTATAATCATTTTATATAAATGGCGGGATTTTAGGTTGGACATATTTGTTTGTGGGGATCAAATTCGCAAGGGAGCTGCTCTTAATGCTATTCAGATTGCTGAGTTGTTACTATGATGAGTTCTTGCATCTCAAGGATGAGGATTTGTGGATTTCACTTCTTTGCAACTAATCATTTTTGTATGATTGTGGGTGAGGTTTAGAGGTTATTATTGACTTCGAGTAAGATCTAGTTAATCTGAGTAGCTTAAAGAGAGGAAAAGGGATCTTTAAGTTGGTACTATTTTGAAATGCATATTTTATGCTGAATTTTATTTTTTTCGTTGGTCTTTTTTAGTAAAGGATCTAGTTACATTTTATTAAACGTTTTTTGTTATATTACTTAATTATTGTTTTTGTATTTTAGAAGTTCACTAATAGCCTAGGAGCAAATGTTATTAATTTTAGAGTTCATGTGCAATTTGGATCTTAAACTATGTGCACAAGGGGGATTTGAACCCTAAATTTGTAATCTGTATATTTTTTTTACCCTAAATAATTAAATTTAAGGCGATTTAGCCTCACTATTAAATTTGTTAAATGTTAACCCTTAGATAAGGAGGGAAAATTTTTTTGACCAAATTTTGTCCGTGGGATGCCAAGTGTGTAGGTTAATATTTTCAAATGGGTATATATTCGGTTACAATGTGTTGTCTCCAGCTCCCTCAATCATCGACAGTAGTACTTCCCAATTTGAAAACATCCCTCTCAGACCAATTCCCAGTGACTATGGCCTCTCGTTCATTGGCAAGCACAATTTTTTCATTTCCAGAATCCGCAAGCACAAATCCTGTGTCTTCCGCACCAACATTCCTCCTTGTCCTTTTATCCCCTCCAACCCTAGGGTTGTTGCCGTCCTTGATGCCTTTTGCTTCCCTGTTCGAGCCCAATCATGCCTTCCACCACCTTCAATAATGGCCCAAACGAGGAAGGCGTTTAAGATTCAATCAGACCGAGCAAGAGTTGCAATTTTGTGGTGACAGGTGGGCAATTGCCAAGGTAGGAGTTGACAACGACCGCCTGAAGCGCGTGTGCGAAGTATGTGCGGACATGTTCCGGTGATGTCTCGTTTGGCGAGGACAGCTCAACAACATCCGGCGAGGGGTCTAAGATCCATCAGCTCGGTATCTTCGAACAAAGGCTCTTGATCCTCATGGTTGTCCCCTTCCTTGACAATATTCTCACCAGAGACGGGGGTTGCTTGAAGACCAGGTCCATTGCACATGATGATAACGTAGGGCGTAACTATCAGAAACACCTAAGGAGGTGATATTTTTGCGCATTGATGATTGTTATGGTCACATAAAGCTTGAAATTTTGACGTGTAAAACATTAACCCTTAATTTTTCAAAATTTCACAGGAGTCCTCTTCTCTTGTTGCCACTAATAGTTAACGTTAAAGCATGTCTATTCCTGTTGTTCTTTGGGACTTGGCACCCAATTGTGGCTTCGACTTTTTGTTACCTTGCCAAGAATTCATTCTTCAATCCCTATGGTCCTCCAAATTTCTGAAGCGCAGCCAATGAAATCGGTAACTCAAAAATCATGCAGCATATTTGTTTCATCGGTGTACTTGCTGCTCAAGTGGCTTCACGGGAAACTATACAATGCCATTTACACGTCTGCTGGAGAGGTACGGGATGAAGCAGAGTATATGTGGCTAAGTAAAGTTGAAGCTTGCAATGCAATAACTATTTGTTCTGGGATTTAACGCTTACGGCGGGGTTAAAATCGTAATTTTGAGTTTGATGAAGTGGGAAGGAACTTGTTAACTACGAATTAAAACCTCACCCGCGTCGCTTATTTAAAAAAAAAAAAAAAAACTCAACCACGTCAGTCAGGGGTAAAAAGGAAAATGCCAATGAACGTCTGTATCAATTTAACTACAGCAGCTAAATTGCCTCCGGTTTAAGTATCTAGGGCTCAAAATGTTTCAATTACCAAGGTAGTGATTGTGTGAATGTGTCTGTTGCTTTGAAAGAATTTCAGGTGAATTGGATTTTTAATATTTCATGAATGAATAATGGGGTTTTAGGTGAATTGTATTATTTAGTTTAATGATTGTTGACTTTTTTTTTTGGGTCAAATAATATATTGTTGACTTGATACTGCAGGATTTTACTAAATGATTATAAGTTTAATTAACGACAACTAAGTTGGTTTCGTTCTACTAACACAACACTCACCCAAAAAAAAAATAATAATAATAATTTATCGCCTTTTTTTACTAATAAAGAAATTAATTTTTTTCTAATATCTAGGATTTGCATATCAGAGCTTCAATTTTTAAAATTTTTTTTATTGAAAATTATTTATTTTAACCAAATATTTCAATAGTAAAAATTTAAAGAAATACTTTTCAGCAATTGCTCATTCGGTTTGTAGTAAACTTTACTTGGCCTAAAAGACAAGTCTAATTTAATGATATTTAGATTATAGTGCATTTAATATGCTTCCTATTTTACCCTTATGTATAATTAAATCTTCCCTCCGTCATAATTTTGAAGGTGATTCAAAGTCTCAAGATATACATTAGTTTAACAACAAAAAAAGTTCATTAAATATTTTTTTTCAATATTATTTTTTTTCTTCCTCCTTATATTCTCTCTTAATATTTAAGATTATTAAATGAGAGATATTTTTAAGCATGGCTAAATTATACTTTTAGTATTCTAATTTTATATAATGTTTCAATTTAATCCGTTAATTTTATAAAGTATTTTTTTAGTCATTTAACTCTCATATCATTAGTTTTAAATAATTATTTTTTGTGTATTGTTATTTTAAAAAAATGAAACTTAATATGTTAATATTTAAAAATATTTTATCAATATTTAAAAATTTAATATAAAAATTTATTAGGATAAAACTAATAGTATTAAGGCTAAAGGACTAAAATGATATTTTATAAAATTAAAGGATTAAAATAAAATATTGTGTAAAGTCAAAAGGACTAAATGTATACTTTAGTCCATTTATATTTTATTTTAAAAATAAAATTGTAACATGTGTTTAATAAATTTTACTGGTATAATATTGTCAATGAGTAATTCATGATAATTAATATAATATGGACTTATGATAAAAGTAGGTTTGTAAATTACCATACTCTTTTGATTCCATTTATTTGGCATAGAGAGAGTATTTGTTTTGATCCTATTTATATACCACCTCAATGATTATTATTATTTTTTTTATCATTTTATCTCTATTAAATGTTAGAAAGTTTATTAAATATTAAAATATTTTATTTTTAAAATATGTATATTTAATAAGAGTAAAGTTAAAAACTTATTAAATTTTTAGACAGAATTAATAAAATTTAATATTTTTCTTAATTTTAGTAAAAATGTTAAAAATAACTCATAAAAATGATAGAAATAGTAACTTTTTTGACATATTTAATGATGTAACCACGAAAAATAACAATTCTATTGAAAGACAGTTAATATCTTCTGAGAAATTAAGAAATCATAAATGATTTGACATTTTGAAATAATGTGTGAATGTCTTTTATCTCCTTATTACCGAATCACTTTGTTTTTATTTGGGACAAGGTAGTACAAACGTTAAATTTAGAAGTCATTTGTGGGGTTTTTTAAATAAAAAAATTAGTATGATTAAGACAGACTTGCTAAATCCGCTAATACAATATGATCATTCCTTATTAGTACAAAATCATTACCAGCCATTTAGCTATAATATCTCACACCGTCATAGAAACTTGTGTCCTTGATGATTCCCTATCTTTAGAACAAAAGGCAAAAGAAGATGAAAGACAGTAGTTTTTGGTCCTAGGCCTTGTACCTTTTTATCTTTTATTTCTTAATGAAATTCCAATTTTTTATTAAGGATTTGTTTGGATTTTAATTGAATATAATTAATTATTAAAAAAATAAGTATGATTAATTTTAATTATAATTAATAACATGATCATGTCTGAATAATTTAATCAGAATCAATTTTATTTGCACAAATTACTATAAAAAATATTGCTTTTGAAAATGAAAATATTAATGAAGTTGTATATATATTATTAAATTTTTTTAATTTTATTTAAAAAGTAAAATATATTATTTAACTTATATACCTAATTAATTATAGAGATTTAAATTATATTAATATTAATAATTTAACGCATGAACCAAAAATGAGACCATAAAGAATAGGTCATCCATCTAGCTCCGACACCAGGAAAACCCAAAATCCATGGCACAAATTTAATCAGGGAAACCATATGGGTGTCTTGCATTAAGATGGGAGTAGTATGAGATGGGAGGTGAAAAGACACTGAAATATATGCATTAATTAAGAGGTATATTTGGAAAGTGAAATATTTAACAAGTGATTAATACAAAGAACAGCAGAATTGTATTTCAGAAGCTACTCCCATCAGCTTTAATCAAAACGTGATTTTGAGTTAAAAGTAATTGATTGTGAGATTTTTGGCTGCTTGGGTAATTTTCAGTCAAATCGATTACTCAGCCAAAAACAGCGATTATTTGTCCAACCCAAACAGGCAGTTATAAAGAAAAGAATGACTTCTGGACTTCAACCTTTTCCTTTATCCTTTGGCAGCCGCGGGCACCATGGTTCTCGCGCGCCGACTTCGGGGATGTCGTCCGGAATTGGCTGTGATGCTTGTGCCGTTGACACGTGTCTGATTACCAATCGGTGGTGGGAATTGGTGCCTTGATTTGACCTTTCACAGGCGTTGGAAAACAGGAGACACGGGGGAAAGCAGCAAGCTTCAGGTTTCTTGAAAATCAGAATATACATTACAGTTACAGATTTGTAATTAAACTTTTAAAAATTATTAATGCAGAATCTTAAAGCTTGATTGTACTTGGTGTGGGTCCTTCCTCTCAAATTCGTCACCATTTGATCCTTGTCCTCAGTTTTCCCCGTGCGGATCCGAAGAGTACTGTAATGTTTTCGGATAGAGATTATCTAGTCAAGAGATGAAACGTATAATGATGATGAGTTTGATAATTCGTAGACAAACAGTGGGTATAAGCACCTGAAAGAGCAATTTAACCTAAGTATTAGATGCAAACTACTTGCATGGTCACTGATCCAAGGTCACTTACGGTTCCCCAGAAGTGGGAACGACGATGACAGAATCTCCCCGCAGGAACATTTTGTTGATGAACCTGTGATGGAATAAAGTCAATGAACACCTCTTTCTGTACAAACCTTAGTTCAGTTGAGAAACTATTTCAGAATAGGGCGGATATGCACTTCCAAGAAGTAATAACGAGAAGATTTCACGAAAAACAGGGACGGGGAAATTTACAGCAGCTGATATGTTGAAATAAAGAACAGAAAGAGAAAGTAAAATGATGTAACCTCACCTTTAAGAGAGGGAATGGTCATTCAGCCAATTGTGCTCAATTCCTTCAAATATCATTGAGGATTCATACTACCCAAAGTCTACTCAGTTCAGGTCTCCGTGAAATTTCTTCATGGTGAAATCAGAAGAACGGAAGTTTCTTTTCCTGACCATCCTCATAGGCATTCAATTTCTAAGCATTTGGTGAAGAGAGATTCAAAAAGAGCAACAACTTAAAGAAGACACCAATGACGAGTGAAAGACACATCCCTAAGGAAATAACACCAAGCATTATAATCCCCATAGCACGTGAAATAATAAAACGAGTTGATTTAGGACAAGAAGCACCAACACTTTTTGATTCCCAGAAATGAACCTTAGACCCTAACCACAAGTCATTAATTTTCTAATTAGGGGAAGGCTTAGGAAACACTTAACAAGAAGCCTCTTCAGTTCAGGTCTCCATTAATTTTCCACACGGACAACTCGGAAGAGCGAAAGTTATTATTTGATCATCATCAGAGGCGTTTTGATTCGGTAGCAAAACCAGGACACCAGGATAGGAAAATCATTTTTGAAAACTGTAAATTTCAGACGATCACATACTCACAGTCGCGCCCATTTGCCGATTTCTTTTTGTTATGTTTTTGCTTTTGCTGAAAATTCTGACCTGCCTCTAAGCTGGGATTCGGGATCTGGGTCCTGAAGTCCCAACAAACAAGAGGGGCAAAAAAATACACGTATTCAACAGAAGCAAAACAAATCAGGTATAAACCTAAGAGATACAAGGGTGTGTGTATCACTAAGAATGTCTCTTCAGTTCAGGTCTCCAAAAACATTCTTCATGAAATTCTCATCGGAAGAACGAAAGTTTGTTCAACTCAATCCTCATCAGAGACAAAAGCAAATCACGTAAATTCAGAACAAGCACAACCGAAGAAATATTCACAATAAAAGAGTGGTAGAAAAAAAGCAACAAAACACCACGGGCACATTTCCTAGCATATAAGTTCCAGGAACTTTCGGGAAGAAGAACAACGCAGCTAAGCTACAATACTAGTTTGGATATACCTCACTGAGCGAGTAAGATTTAAAGACTTGAGACATGCGTACGAACTACAAATGGTTCCTTTCAGTACATTTTATATTGTGAAATCGCAAAACCCTACATCGGTTTGTTTTGTTCTTCTTCGACATTAAACCCTAGCCAGTCGGGACGATCCATTTCGCCAATTTGGCCCATATTACTTTGTGTGGACAATGTGGTCTTCTTCTTCTTTTTTTTTAACGCTTTTCGTGGTCTTATCTTCCGAATCCAACCAATTCCCAGCATTGTAATGAAACGTAAAAACAAAAAACTTCCCGGCAAGTGATTTAAATGAAAAGGGTTACTTTGAGGATGTTTAGGGCTTTTCTAAAAAGAAAAAAGGCTTCATTTTTTTTAATAATCTTAAAGTTGGTTAAATTTGCTCTATAATTAGAGAACTAGAAGGAATTATATGGTTTCCAATATATAGATTAAGTTTACAACTTCAAAATTGAACATAATTAAAATCCTCCCTACAATTACAAAATAATGTATTCATCAGTTCACCTAAAGCGAAGTTAATTAAGCACAAGACCGATAAATTTAGCACGGAATGACCATCATAAGTTCAAAGAATTAACTAGCCACAAAGCTAAATCCTAAATCAAGATACAATTTGCAAGCTCTTTCCTAGAATTACATCCAGGAGAGAATCTCCCCCGTTTTGCGAAATAAAACGTCTTGAAAAGAATGGCTTATACAGTCAGTCATCTCTATAGTGCAGACGGGTCGCAAATGGTGCTCCAGAACAAAACTTATGTACATACAAACAGAGCATGATTCTTCACTCTTTCGTGAACTTCCTTGTTAGCAAATTTAGCAGTGGAAAAGTATGACTCAATAAGGAGAAGTTAGGAGAATGCTATGCAAGCTCCATAGAGAGCGGTTTTAGTCCAGAGAAAAAGCTCCATCACAATACCTGCAACATTCAATCGACGGAAAATTATAGCTCTTTTCCTGTCGTTTCAGAAAATGCAGACAATGAATTGATGAATTAGCATGAATGTTGTCATTTATGTTCACAAAACAATAAATGTTCCTAATTTTGTTCCCCAATCTTTCACCTTCCACCTTTGCTGTCCACCAGCAAGGGAGGAGGTAACCTCAAAACTGTAACTTAGAATTTGGTGACAATTTGTAGAGTGAGTAAATATACAATTTGCATGAACAGAAGAACTATATTTGTAGCAAGTCACACATTTAAAAACTATAGATGTCCATTTTTTGTCATAATTAAAAAAATTTAGAACTATCCCCAATGTCGCAAAGCCTTGCATTTAGATTAACTTGTTTTAAACTAAAAGAAAAGGTAATAAATTGGCTATTTTCTAGGGGGAAAAATGTCAATATAAATATTTTTTTTTCACCAAATAAATTCCTTAATGTTCTTGACTTCAAATCTTCAACATGCCTATTCAAGCGTTTTTCCTCATTTCAATTTTTTCTCATTATGATGCGGATAATAGGCTTAGGGGGGGAAAGCAAATTATTAGGCGCACCAACAATGGAACAAATGGGATACCTACCTATTACTGAACCTTTCAACAGCATCGGACGCAAAAAGAAGGGTTTCATTAGCTTTCTCTAGAACCATGTAAAGCTCCTTCCCTCTTGTCACTCTAGCAATAACCCAGGCATTATTTTTTGCTCTAATGCACATCTCTAGGTCCTTCTCGCAACCAGAGCCATCGTGCTTCGCTCTACTCTTCTCCAACTCAACTTCTTGCCTAAGCTTATTCATAGAAAGTAAAGATTCCTGCACCAAACCATAAAAAATGACCAAATATTTATCCATCTATTTATTTATTTAAATTAAGTCCCTTAAGAGATAAGGAGAACCCGATAACAAGTACATCATAGTGCCAACCATCAAACACCACACAGCTCTAAAGCAAAGCTTGATTTTTAAATAACAAGACATGTCCAGTGCATTAAATGCATAATTGCATATTATATTTGATAAAATGAATTTGAAAATAGAATAAGGAACACAGCCTGTCTCAACATCACACAACATTTTCTTCAAAAAAAAATATAATTTTGTCTTGATCATCCAGGATATGTTCATCAATTGGCATGAAACGATAAACCATGCTGGGCAGTGTTTCTTCAGGTATAGCTATTATATAAAACCATCTTGCCTGGATTTAAACAGAAGGAATATTCCCAAGGTACCACCGGGGATGACACACAGCAATCATGCTTCATGAAGACAGAGTTTAAGCCAAAGCTGAAGAAGCTTTACCTTGGTCAAAGTGGTAACTTTTGCTGCTGGGGAGGCCCTGGACACATTTCGGTCACCATCCACTAATAAATAGCGATATCCGCTGACATGATATGCATTTTCACCTCCCCATCCTTTTGATAGCTTCTCTTCAACTTTCAATATCTTAAGTGCTGACTGATGCATTTACAAGAAAAGACTGAGCTCAGCAAAGGATAATTATGCCACACATATTTGCATATGTTTCAATTCAAGAACACCTTTCAAAATTTTGGAATGAGAAAAATGCTCATGATTGTAATCCAGCCGAGTTCAATAATGACAATTTAACAGCAGATCAAAGGAAAGAGGACTGCTAATAGGAACACCTTGCAATTCTTTGTAATTTATGAATAACTTTTTATTCAAAAAAAAAAGGAAAGAGGACTACAGAAGTACAGACAAGGACCCAAAAAATTACAGAAAAGGACCAAGAAATTTTTTTTTTGTCTTTTTCTGTAATTTTGAGGTCTTTTTTTATAATTTTCTGGTCAAATTAGTCAGATTTAACTTTTGTTAACGATAGGAGTGATATTACACCGTTTTTAAAAATTAAAGAGACTAAATGAGTTTAGGATCTTAAACACTTCTGAACCTATAATTCAAGGGTGAAATTGCCTTTTAACCCATTAGATAAATTGGTTCAAAAATTTAGGGGAAAAAATTAACAAAAGGATAATTACTCATGCCTAAAAAAAAATTCAATATAGAACGAGTAAAATAATTTCAAATTTGTATGTTTATCCAAAATCCCTAATTTACAAGAAAAAAAATTAATTAAAACATCTACCCTAATATTTTCATCAGATATCGTCAGCACTCAGCATTTCATAGCAAGCATGCAGTTTAAGTATTGAACCCAAAATGAACTATCATGAAACGGCAGGAAAAATCTTTCACTACGCATTGATGCATGTCAAATGATAGAACAAAAAGGAAAATCTACACAAAGCTAATGAGGTAGCAAAATTTACTATAATAAGTAAGGGACTTACATGTTCAAGTATTTGTTGCTTGGCCACCGACACACCTTGCTCCCCATTAATAATGGAGGATACAGGAAGAAGAACAATCAAAGTAAGGCTTCTATGCTGATATGCACAGAGATACATTCTCTCCTCTGTCTGTGACAACCCAACCGTTGGAGTGGCAAATGCCCATGTACCAACCTCAGCACCCCATAAATCAGTGACAAGGTAACCATCTTTTCCTTTGGACCACTTGTCCGGCTGTAAGGGCCTCACAACATGATAGTGACTATCCCCACCTGGGGATATATCAGATGAGCCGTAAAAGCTTTCTGAAAAAGAGCTTGGATGGGTCAAGTCAGATCCAGCAGCAGCATTAGATGCAGCATTGCCTTTGCGTAAGTAGGACCAGGAACTTACTCCAGAGGACAAAGCACGGGGGGTTAACCTTAGAACAGCATATGTAAATAAGTTTACAGTGTCATCCTGACAAAAGAATTAATAGTGGAGATTAATCAGCAACTTGCCCAAACAAATTCTGTTAAAAAAATGAAATTGTATTTTGAGGTTGAAGTGTTGAACCATACAGGAGAGAGAGTTGTGGACACCAGCAGATCGTGAAATAAAATCAATGAATGGCAGGGAGTGTTTCCAGCTGAAGATTCCAGCACTCGAACAAGTGACTGGCAAATCAAGACAAAATCAATAAACTGGTGGCAAGCCAAACTTTTTTCCCTCTTCAGAAAAAATTAACAGTGTTGGGAACAGCAAACATCAAAGATTAATACAAACGCTTAAAAGCACTTAAATAAGGAATACAGTTTTACAATTTATCATTGGTGAACAAACATTATATCTCTACCCTGCTCAAAGTAGATGACATCTAAATGTAAGTTCATGCTATGCCCTTACTAATTAGACACCATCACCTTGTTTTATTGGAGTTGGAGAAGGGGGGGGATGTTAAAAAAATTGATGAAACTTATGCATGAATAGATAAAGATGAGAAATATAGGTTTCTTCCTCCCTCTTATCAGACCCAAGGTCTCTCAAGTATGACAAACCCAACACTCCCATGGGCAGTATAATTAAATTTTTTTTGTTTTGAGATTGCTGAAAACAATAATAACCTAAGCCATGAAGGAGAACATCTCATCCAACAAAGGTAGTCAAGATGATAATAAAAAGTTATTATTAGTGCATGCTAATCACTTTCTTTTTAATATTTACAGATTACATAATGGGAAACTACAGGATCTTTAATGATCATGTGACTGAAGAATAATGGGTGACGTAAGATGAGGAGAATGAACAGAGAATAAGGATACGTGATAAGTATAACCACAAAACATTTTCCGCAGACAATATAAACTTTTGGCAAACTCCTCCATCCTCCTATTACCTGTCTTCATAGTAGCTTTTATAATTAAAAACAAATGCAAAATAATGAAAATAAGAGAAGAAAAAGTGAGATAGATGGGGACAAACTGCTGATTACTGCAAGCAATGAAATTACCAATACAACTGGAACAGGAAGATTTTGAGAGAGAATTGAAGTAGATACAATCCAGAAGCTTTAGCACGCTAAATTCAGAATAATTGCAGTTTTTTCGAATCTCATGTATACGATGACAACTAGATATATCTAACCTGAACCTCAATAGCAGCCTCCCGACCTACTGACAGCATCTGCACCGTCCCTCGTTCCTTCAAACAGTCATGAAATGATGGTAAAAGAAGCTTTTTCCCCACAAGAAAATCTGCCTCAAAGAGAAAATTCATAATTAAGGTAAAAGATACAGCCACTTCTGCATCACTCAGGCAGCACAGATCCAAAGAAACCATTTGATACAGCAACTTCACCATTACCACAGCAGCAATTATCCCATGGAGACCGCTTTTTACACGCTGACAATCATGGCTTACAATGAAAATCTTCAATCATAACACAAATGGAAAAAAAAGATTTATATTTTTCACAGGCTTTTTCTTGCATGAAGACTTACCCCTCAAATAGTCCATGACAAAAGAATACAAATGACGTCTGACAAGTCCTCCACTAGGTTCTTTCTCAATCATAGCCCTTACAGTTCCATGAAACATAACAAAAAGCGAATGTATTTCTTTGAGAACCTTTCTCAATGCATCATCCCGCCATATAGGTTCTGCATCATTATTTTTCTCAATTACCTACGAGGTAACAACTTGATATTACAGGCGAGCTCACTCATGTTATATATTCAACAAGCTAAATTTGATTTAGTTATAAATTAATCCAAAATATGATAAACGAAGTATTCATTAAGAAATGTTCAAAAGCTACATATTCATTTAGCTCAAGAGGATGTTAATCAATTGTTCAAAGAAACATTGTATGAGATCAAACCAATCCACATGTACTAGAAAATCCTAATATCCTCTTTTGCAGCAATCCATCACCCATCATGCTTCAGTATCATCTAAAATGCACCCCTATCATATGAAACTAATACGAACAGATTAGCATAAATCAGAGACATACAGAATATAAATAGAAAAGATTTCAATTCCACCCTAACAAATGCCCTCTACGAAATTAAAAAAACTGCAACACATCCCATACAGCATAATGTTTTCAATGACAAATTGCTGAAAGGGCTTAGCCTCCCTTAAACAAAAATGCCCACATGACATGATTGAAAGAAAGTAGATGAACTGATGATTTAGCTTTCAAATAAGAAAAGGAGACAAACTAAGGATGACACCAGTACTTTAGAAGAACATCACACTGATACAGTTGAAGCATAAAAAAAATCCATAATGACAATAATATGTCTTGTAAGTTTGCAATAAAATTTAGATTTAATCACTCATCGAATAGATCTGTTAGCCCCAAAAATTTAGAGAAAAATAAATTACACACCATCACCATCCATATATCTGGTTCTGCCTCATAAAAGATGTGAGAATGTCTTTCTGCTTCAATGACTTCACATGCAGCCTCTGGAGAGAAAATTCTGCAAACTCACCGTATAAGCTTCTCCAAAACAAGTAAGAACTTTGTTATTGAAAAAAAAAGTAAGAATTTAATCATACAAATCCAACATGGAGTATTTACCACAAAAACCTGGTTGAACTGGCAGAATAGGTAATTGCAGAAAAAATAAGCCCAAGATTGGGGGGGGACATAAGAACCAAAAGTCCTACAGATATATTACTGTCCCACAATAATATCATGTTTACATGCAGATAATAGATCCCAGACAAAACTTCTCTTTCAAGTCACATACATGATAACAGCAAAGTATACCTTGTAAATGTAATCAGTCCTTCACTAAGCCCAATAACGGAAAGTTGTTTTGAGAAGGGCAAATCTGCTGGGAAGAAAAACAAAATCTTATCCAGCTCTTGCCCTTCATGCTGTCCTCTCCTCAAATCAAATACGCATAATTGAATGGCTTCCTTGGAAATAGCAGGAGATGATAAACCCATTGTCCTTTCCAGTATCTGATGATGTAAGATAGAGAGAGAACACTTAAAGAACAAACAATTCAGAGCTACAAGACATAAACGAACAAAAAAGATGCAAAAACTCCAGGCATCATTAAAACATAGACAAAATATGAGGTTTCAAAGACATCACAACTCAAGCTAAAAGCCTTTTTAATTAATTTGCACCATGAATTTTTCACGAGACGATGGCTTACTATAAATTAAGTAATGTGCTTGACTGAATCTTGGGGGGCCACAGGAGGGGAAAAAAAAAAATCAGCCTAGTGATGCAATAACCTAGCACGTTCACTAAAGCGATGGAAAAAAATAACGCCTTAGGGTAATCAAGTGATGCAGCTCACGTTGTTTTGTCTCATACTCTTAGATAGGAAGAAAAGATAAGTTAGACACCAACCTGGTCCTTCATCACTATCTACAACTGCTTATGAATATAGAGGCTGTTGTCCATGGAGAGAAAATACAGAGTGATAGCAAGCACAAAGGCATTGAGGCAACTTAAACAAGGACGAGCAACTTAGATGCAGATATGCTACATTGAAGTTAGAGACAGACTTCCATCACTAAAACCCTGAGATTCGTTGAACATCTACAACGGACTACAGTGGAAGGAAGCACAATTAGCATTTTCCTTCGTACCAGTATAAGAATTGGTTTTATATTTGCATCGAACCTTTATTGTTGCCCCGATTTCTTTTCCTTCTTCGTTATTATTAAGCACTGTAAACAAAGAACGCCAGTTTTATAAAAAGTCTAAACCTTCACCCGCAAAGCAAGTGTTCCCATACTCTCCAAAAACAAAATATGTGCACTGTAGAAACGTCAGAGATATCTAATGCTAAAACCAACATAAAAACAGATTAGATTCAAGCACACATGACCCCACAAAGAAAGGGTTCACTTATCCCGACTATGAGTCCAAGCTTAAAATTTCAAATGTCTAAGTTCAACTATAGCCCAATGAGAATCTGCATGTCAAAGACCGACAGCCATTTTGAGTATTAAACTATCAAAATTTCAGAACACGTGAAAAATGCCTAAGAGTGCGCGTGAGCGTGTTTCTGTTAAAGAAGGGGGAAATTGAAGTATTCAGAAAGCAAAAGGACGAAAGGAGAATTACCAGAGGAGCGGAGCGTCAATCTGAAATCACAGAAGCAACGGCAAGCGAAGGATTGATGGCCTCATCGATCTTCCTTTTTGGACGGGATGAAGAGCCTCAGCGATCGTTTTATGTTTGCGTGGTCTCACCTTCCAGTCCACACAAGACCGCAGAGCGCCAGGTGCAAGCGAAACTTTTTTTTTTTTTAAAACACGGCCGTATAGTAACATTCTATTTTGGCTCCTACTCAGAAATTCGGACTTATTATTAGCATTTTGTTTTATTTACTTCCAATAATGAATACCTTTAATTGTGGCTAAAGTATATTTTAATCATTTTTTTAACTTTACAGTCCATTTTGATTCCTTAATTTTATAAAAAAATTTTTAATTTTTTAACCCTAACATAGTTAGTTTTATTATAAAAAAAATTATACATTAAATTTTTAAATATTGACAAAACATTGTCAAATATTAATATATTAAATTTAATTTTTTAAAAAATAATAAGGATTGACACAAAAAAATTATTTAAAATTAATCATGTTAATGTTAGAGAATCGAAAATATAATTTTTAAAATTAAATGGTTAAATTAAAACTTTGTATAAAGTTAGAGAATTAAAAATATACTTAACAGAGTTAGTAAATTGTATAGATTCGAAAGCTCTTAGTGTGATTTGTTTTCGTCTCTCGGGTTTCGTATCTAGCTTTTATGCCTGACTTAAGCCTTCAAAAAATTCCATCGAATTGTCTTCCTCGGACAATGACGATGATAGGAAGAAGAAGAAAAAGGTTGAGGATGTCCCGTAAGGGATTATGGATGATCAAAAGGAAGGGAAAGTCTCTAGGGAAAGAGAAGACTCCAACTCCACATAGTCCTTTCCCAAAGATGGTGTCTCTTATGGTGAGTCCCTCTTAAGTTTCAATGGTGTAGCTCATAAGGGGTCTCCTCAAGAGGAAGATGACTTGCTTAATAACGACAACAACTTTGATTAGAAGATGCCAAAGCCCTTTGATTGGAAGGTTACCTAGTCGTTTTCATCTCATAGGAGGAGCTTAATAAAAGTGGATTTAAACACTCTAGCAGATTTTTTGGCTAAATATTCCAAGATTGGGTATGAAAAATATGCAAGGTTGTGTGTAGAATTTGATCTTTAGAAGAAACTTGTCCCTTAAGTTTTTGCTACAAGTTCTGTCTTCAATGTCAAGTATGAGGGATTGGGATTAATTTGCTTTACTTGTGGCTACTTCGATCATCGACTAAAGGCTTGTACAATTGAAAACGATGCTCTAGCGCTCACAAGAACAATGGAGCTTAACATTTTATAGTGACAACACCAATAAGGCCACTAAAGAAGAAGACCTCACAAACGCTGCAATGTTCAATTCTTGGATGTTACCCCTTGTAATGACTTTCGTAGTTAGCCCAACTTAAACTCAACTAAAAACCAACTCTCATAAATAAAAATTAACCATGGCTATTATTAAATAAGTAATACCCTGTAACATGTTTAGAAAATAATCATATCCTAAAAATATTATAAAATAATTAATAAAGCAATCATCTTTGAAAACACTTAAAATTAGGGTACAAGAGTTTATGGAAACATGGAAAATAAGTTTAGTATTGAGCATAGGTCAAATAAGATCAAAATAGACATTAATGTGAAATTGCTCTTATCCGCTGTGGCTAGCCTTGCATAACACGTTTGCCATAGCCTACTTTACATCCATCGTGGCCAACCATGAATTCCAACGTCCATTATGGCTCAATATATGTCTACTATGGCATGTGGTACAGAGACCACTTCAACGTATCTAATAGCTCTTTCCACCGTGGCTAACCTAAAAATGCTATGTGCACTACGTAACTAAACACACATCTACCATTCTTGTGTTCCCATTGTGCAAAAAGTAAGAAAGAGACTCTTTTCATGGAAAAGCAAGTTTCTCAATCTTGCAAGAAGGACTGTCCTTATCAAAGCAATGTTGTTTGCGATGCTTGCTTGCTAGATGCAATCAACACTTCTTGCTTAAGGCCTTTTATTTGACAGAGAAAAGTTAAGTAGGGATTTTTTATGTTGTCAGGACACAGAGGTTAGAAAGATGCACCTTATCGCTTGGGACAAAATTATGAAACCTAAATTTAAGGGGGGCTTGGAATTAAAAATCTTAGGCATCATAATAAGGCTTTCATTATAAAGTTATGCTAAGGCCTAGTTCCTCACTTAAAAGCTTTATGGGTAAGATGCTTGAAAAAAAGGTACAAGTATAGGGATAAGGCTTTCTCAAAAATCAAGAAGCATAGGCTGGCCTTACAAATTTGGCAATCCATCATAAAGGTGTGGGACTCTTTTATAGAGGGTCTTGTCAAGAAAGTCAACGATGGCTTCACTGTTAGTTTTTGGTAGGACAAATGGACTATGCTTGACAAACTACTCATTGATTATGCCCTCAATCTCAATGCTACAAACACAAATGATTGTGCTAAGGATCATCTACTCTTAAATGGGCAGTGGAATGTGGATTACTGGTTCCATCTTGGATAATTATAAAGTTATAGAAATTGAAACTGCCTATGTCTAGTGCTGAGGCTTGTATTAATTAGGGACCTATGGTGGATTAGCAATTTCTTACTTAAATTTTCTTATACTTTCCTCTCCTACCTTGATGGGGGAGGACTTTTATGGATCAAAATCTAGAAATGATAAATTTTAGAGAAGGTTGAGCATTTCATATGGCAAACATCTCATAGGAGATTAGTTATGGACTCACTTAAAGCCAAGAGAGGCCTCTCAAATACTTTTCTTTTTATGTTTGAGTGTCAAAATAAGGAGACTGCCATATACTTATTGAGAGACTATGAGAAAGAAAAAGAAGTGTGTGGTCTCTATTTTTAAAATCTAATGCTTTTTCTAGTTTCTTTTATGGCAATTTGCAAGAATGGATTTGCTGGAATTCAAGACGCAATCTCATTAAAGGAAAGTTGGCTCATGGGTATAGACAAAGGTTTTTACAATGTTTTGTTGGTTACTATAAAAGTCTCGATGCAAATATGTCTTTAAAGAGAGCATGTCCATTGCTTAAGACATTTTTCATCAAGGCTGTTACATTTTTAATGGAAAAAGCCTTCAATTATGAGCTTCGATATCATGTATTTCAAGAACCCTTATAGTAGGAAGGTTCTTGGACCCCTCCACCTAAGGGTGTGTTACTAGTTAATGTCAATAAATTTATCCAACATATGCAACGTGTAGCTTGTGGAGGTGTGATACGCAATGCTAATGTAGATTGGATCATAGGTTTTCAATAAGATTTAGGCTACTACTTGGTGATGAAAGTTGAGTTATTTGCCATCATAGTAGGTCTGTTGGTGTCAAAACAACTTAGGGTTTTCAAAATACACCTATAGTTTGACTTTTTAGACGTTGTCAACACGCTTAGACGTGATGTGGAATCATCCCTTAAGACCCCTTATATATGAGGTTTGTGGCTTGATTTATGGAAATTAGGATATGGAACTCCACCAAACCAGTTGTGACAACATTATTTGTGCTGATTAGCTACAACTTGAATGATGAGATAAACCTGGTACTTATTACCCCCTTATTTTGTATAGACAAACTTCTTGTAGATAAGCTCCTTACCTGATCTTAATGGGTCAACTCTATTTCTGATGTTATTCATAAAAATTTATTAATAACTTTTTGATACAGAAGCAAATCACTAAACCATAAAAATTATTGATATTATATTTTAAATTATTTTCAAATAAAAAATCTTGATGTATGAGTTATTGACATGATTATTTTATTCATATGAAAAAGTAAATAAAAAAAGTAGAAAATTGTGGCCAATTGATTTGTTAGCATTCCTAGTTGATTAGATTTATAGGAAGAATCATGTCATATTTGTATTACCCCTTTTCATATGAATCTATTTTTTATTCAAAAGATTAACTTATTTGCAAAGAAAGGCCAACAATATTGACAAAATAAATAAAAGTAAATAATATATCAATAAATAATAATTAATCTTTCCATAAATTGTTGATGTATACTTAAGAATCAATAAAGCCCGTCAGGCAATTTTACATCATTATTAGATTTAGCATTGACAAAATCGTTAGCTTAACAAATTTACAACAACTTTAGCTGTAAGTGATTGAAGTAATAATCAATCTAGTAGTATTGTTAAGGATGAATAAGGGATCAATGTGAGTTAGTTTCGATCATATATAGATATTTCTTGAATTAACAAAAAATAGGGGAAGACCCTCAGCTAAAGATTTATTAAAGTACAGCCTCCTAAATTTATCGATGATCCCTGCACTTTCCTTGAGAATTATCTCTTTTTCCATCTCAGCTTGCTCAACCTTTTTCTTGGTCATCATGCTAACATTTCCAACTACATTTGCAATAATAGTATAGGCATTTGACACCCATGAAGCTTTGGTCAACAAGTAAGGATTGATCATGATAGTAGATCTAGTACTACTCACTTTTTGCTCAGCAACAACAAGAGCAGGCTTGGTCATTTTAAGACTAGAAGTTTTTCATTCATCTCTTTTACTATTTCACTGAGAATGGCTGTTCCAATACCTAGTTTATCACTTAAACCCATTTTATTATCAATGGAAGCTACTGTGGCAGAAGTATTTGAAGTCAAGCAATGTTGTTTATGAAAGGATTTTGCCCTATTGATTGCATCCTTTCCTAGAATAAAACCCTTTGCAAGCATGGTACTCACCACGTCTTCAGCCTTCTTAACTACTATAGGAGTTGGCTTTTTCTCCTATAAGAAATATTGTTCGTAAAAAACTTTGTATGAAATCTTTATAGTAATGGAGGCTTAAAATTCGTAAGTTTGGAAAGGGGCGTGAAGGGAAGGAAAAACTTGTATTCTCCAGTGAAGATTATCCATTCTTCAAGATCTAACTAAAGATCCAAAATTTCCTTCATATCTAGCCAATTATAAAACAATTGAATATATTCACCAAACTAATGCTGAAGGGTACAACATCCTCACATAGTCATTTATTGTCATCTAAATATAGCAATCTTTCTACTGATGGCCTATGTATGTAATCTCAAGTTCAAGTTGATTCTATGCCATCATCTTCCAAAAAAAACAAAGAAAAAAAGTGCTGAAAACCTTTGTCTTGTTGACATTATGACTT